TAGTTTGAATTTCGTACTGTATTACGTTTTGTCGTAATTGTCACTTGTTACTTAGAATACTACATCTGAACTACATGAAGAGCTTTCTCGTCGCATAATGCAACACAGTTCGGTTCCGTTGGTGACCACCGGATCTGATTAATAGGTTCGTCAGATTTCAACAATGTGTAGCAGGGTCCTTCTGCATTGTCCCCCGACCGAGTCATTTGGGCGCAAATATCGTAAACGATTGCAGTATTATCTTCGCCGGCGCTGCACAGGTCATATCGTGAATGAGGAGACCAGGACATTGAGTTTACGCCCCCTTTATGCTGGTCTAACTCTGCCATGGGATAGATGGGGCGTCGAAGATCGATCACTGAAATTTTGGTGCTGTCGTCCGCGAATGTAGCAATAAATCGGTCGTCCCTTTTGTTCCACGCTAATCTGAGCAGAGGCGTCTCGCATGGCGTTTTGTATACAATGGTACTTGATTCTAATGCTCTGCAACATATCACAAATACTGACACAACTACTAAAAATATTTGTTTTGAAAGCTTACCGCAAGTCGAACACTCGCATCGATCCGTCACCTCCAACTGAAGCGAACTTGTTTGAATCAGCACTCGAAAATGCTATATCGTATACTTCCGTGTCATGCGTCACGATTTGGTTCTTAGGCGACGTTGGTTGCTGCAAATTCGACCATATCAGTGGACGATCTCGACAAGAAAACCAGAATACGTCAGACTTTTTCGGCGTACGTTAATGTCCCAAATGATGCACGTATTTCCTGTACTCGATGTTCCAATAATGTTGGGCTCCACCTCATTCCAGTCAAAGCTTGATAGAGGAGCGCAAGCATTATTGTTGCTCTTTTTCTACACCAAAAATGTAAGTTTTCAGAGTGATCATCCGAGTGCAAGTCACCAACTCCAGTAAATCTTGAGTGTAGTTCGATGGTCGAGTCCGAGATCGTCCAAAGACGCAAAAAATCCGCTGTTGTGGCAAGCAGCTCCACATGTGAGCCAAGTGAGGCCGGTGACCACATAATCTTGGTGGGCGGATAAGGGTGGTCAATCTCAAGAGCAGAGACAATCTCTTTTTGGTTCGCCGTCGGGTGAAAGATCTGAGCAAATAAAGTTCATTTAAGGTTCATTTTGGCATTTTCGGAAAGTTGCAAAAATTACCTCGATCTTATTTGCGTATTCGCCCGGAATAAAGGTTGACGCGGCGATGCGTAGGGAGCTCACATCTGGTCTCCAGCAGAGACCATACAGACGATCTCTTGTTGGGTATGTAATAAAGGGACGGTCGCACAAGACCGCGCGCCGGGGCATGTGAATATCTATAGCAGAGTTCGAAATTTAAGAAATGACGACACCATCCACCAATCACAACGCAGAAATAATGTGTGACTGGGTTTCTAGGGCAGACGGTTCACTCAACATGGTTTTGTTTTATCTCTAGCGCTAGCGCAATTTTGTTCTCACGAAAAATTTTTGCTTGCTTGAGGTGAACCTTTTTGACGGAGGAACTTCAGCTTGTGCGCCGTAAAACCTTTGGTGCGATGACTGACTTTAGCACCAACACGACATCTATCAAGTATATACATGTGCAGTTGTAGCCTTGATATCGTCGTTTGTGCCAGATGCTATTGGAGACACTGGCATAAAGTATCGATTTATGGCGTCTCGAAAACGTTTACCATAAAGATTTGGCTCAATTATGGTCGGCGATGATTGCCCCGCGATCATACCAACAGATTTGCCGACACTTTCCACCCGCTTGATCAGATCAAATTGGCGCAGATAGTCAATGATGCCGAGAGTCATTTTAGAGGGCACCCGTTGCTGTGTTCCAGTGTCATTCGGCAGATAGCTCAGCCCCAAAACCATTGAATAGTCCACGATATTAATGGAGCTAAGAAATTCAGTATCATTCTGCACTGCCTTTAATATGAAGTGTTGGTCCTCTGCGAGAATGCCCATCGGGTAACCCTTCGTAAATTCAAGAAAATTGCCATCTAGAAGCACTCGGTCATCAAACTCGCTCGACTGAACCTTGGAAGGAAGTTGCAATTTGGTGAATCGATTGCGAATGCTCCCTTTAAGGTCATATGCTCGCAAGATCTGCTTACGGTAAAACGCGTTTTCCATGACACAAATATATCGCACCACTTTCTGTCCAGAATTTTTTTGAATGATTGTTGTATGGTACAGCCCAACAGTTTTTGATAAAAGACTGGTTCTGCCATCGAAGTAGATACTCGCCATGTACCTAAAATAGCCTGGAAGGCATCCCAAGAAACTCTGAAAAGATATTAAATTGATAGCACCAACCAAATTTGATAAAGATTCATACCTGCAATTCTTTTGAAGAAATGTGCTTGATAACAAAGCGGTCGTCAAATGATCGATAGAAAGATGCACCTGATTTACCGCCATTTGCATCCCAGTTCATTACATGTGATATTGAGAGCACAAAATCGGGAAGATCTCCACAGAACAGCTCTCGCAAAATTTCGAACTAGCAACAGAAATAAAAATTTTGTCAATCGGGATATGACTCAGACCAACGCTAAAACCATAATTTTTTTTACCTGAAGTGGGCAATAGGCTACCATCGACATTTCCCAAGACGATGATACTGATAATGATGGTTTGCATGAAAGGAGCGATACATGCAGCGGCAATTCTATTGCAGTAAATTTAAATGGCGCATCAAGCTTTGTTTCAAGAGCTGCACGCGACCAGTTTGTGCTTGCACAATCGAGCATACTAATTTCCGAAACAACTGACTCGGCTGCTTCATTGTGGACTTGAAGCTTCCATCCGTCCAACTCCTCTTCATAAGAATATGTTGATAAAGCATACGCAACGAATGTGATCGGGATTGTCTCATCTACCAGCACTACACGGGATTTCGATAGGTTAGGAAGGCTTGGATGCCCTGCTATTAGCGCATCAGGAAGATTGATCGTGATGTCATGTTGTGGGTCAGATTGACCAAGAATTCGGTAGAGATCTAGTAATGCATCTTTCCGACCTGATTTCTAAAGATCAGAATTCGGCGTTATTATTTATCCTCTAAACACTTTGACACATTCTGCTTGCATGTTGCTTACCTCTTTTTCGACATCAACACCTGTGGTGCTACCAGTGTACGGGATTGATAGTCGCTTAAATGAGTCAAAGCTTGCAATTGTTGATGAGAACGATCCTGCACTCTGTGTTGACGGTTCTGGCTTGATAAGAGAAGAGAGAGCTGCACTACTTCTGCATCGGGCTAGTGACTGTGATCCTTCAATCCAGTGAGGCCTTTGTGCGATGGCGCTAGGCGTCAATACAAATTCCTCATGAGATCTCATAGGTGCCAGAATATCTACAGGATCAAATGTGTTGCCTCCGGGCGTGGACGAATTACATATGGGAACCGAAGAAGCCGGCTCGGGTGACAGATGCTGCTTAATTATCTCGCGAAGTCGGACCATGCATGTAATCCATTTGCATGCAAACACATATAAGGCGCGTTGAGTGGCATCGCAGTCAGCTAAGCTGCTCGCAGACTCAGGTTCTAGTTGCGTAAACTTACAAGTAAAAGTTGCATGACCACTGCGCAATATTTTGGATATACACATGATTTCGAGAATGAGTCGTGCGTGATGATGATCAAAATCAGATAGCTCGAGAGCATCAACAGCTTGATAAATCTCCTGCACTTTCTTCTCAAACGATTCAACAATCGACTTTAATTGCCACTTCAGGCTTTCGAGGCGAGTGACAACTTCTTTATTGACAGCAGCCCGCTCAATCATCTCCCATGAAAAACACTCATCAGTGCTGCAGTTTGATTTGACACGACTGAGACGAAGTACTACCTGCTTTTTGACATCAAAGCGCGCAACTGAGTTGCCGATGCTAAATAACAGTACGTGTGATTCCAGAGACGTATGGACACATGTGGATGACGATGATATCGGTAGCAAGGAGCCTTCAGCCTCCATGAATAGCACCTCTAAAAATCTTGCAAAAGAATATTTGTAAATATACCTTTTCAAAGGTATGAATGGTGATATGTAACTTTTGCATTCGCGGCACCATCGCCAGAATATTACTGCAGGAAACCTGTCATCCGTCGCTATTCCACAATCATCTTCGTGCGTTGTCGTCTGATTGATGGATGCTAAACTTTTTGCCGTCAGTAAGCTTGCATTCAGTCCGGATCCCATCGTGCGAGACAGCTCACTAGATGAGGTCAAAATATGTTCTGTCACTTCAGTGTCATGAACTTGACCCTTTGAGATGGGCAAAGACTGCTTATTCAGATTTGTCAACTCTTCAAACGAGATGACGATAGTTCCAGTCCGGCAGCTGAATGTGTGGATGTGATTTGCCATCAAATAACTGCATTTTACATTCTTACAAAAATGAAGCAACAGAAAGTATCAGTCGTGAGCCAATCTCTTACATGATGCCAATCAAAAATCTCGTACCCGGCACTTCAAAGAAAGAGCAGACAATTCTTGAATCAGAAAATTGCCAAATGATACATCTTCGTCTGAGCAGGCTGTAATACAAAGATGCTTGGCTTCTGCGCATTGATGATACCGAGGATTGGCAGATCCAGGATCACAAACTCGTAGGGTTGATGTAGTGCACCAAATGGACCGTTGTGTTTCGATAAAGGTAGTTCCAAGACTATCACTTAAATTGAAATCAGACAAAACATGAGCTTCCAGCAATAATTGATACGTCATCGATAAAATTGAACGGGTCATCCGCTTTAATGTTCGCAAGGATTGCTTTAACGGTCCAGTAATTAGCACTGTACAACCATTTAGCGGATCGCATCCATCAAGATACAAATATGTGTCCGTCCGCAAGCGATTTGGTATTGATTGAGCTTTGATAGAGACATCAGCAAGCGCCTGCAAAGGTTGATGCACTATTGATAGTCCCTCGTCTGAAATTACAGGAATCGACTCTACTACAAAGGACCTACAATGACCAATCACATGTGCAGGATTGACTTTATCCACATGATCCACAGTTGGTATTATTTTGGCCCCGACGTGACGTGCAATTCGACGCAACACCTCACATTTGACATTTAGAACAATTGCTATGCGGCGTTCACATAAGAGCTCTTGGGCATATCTCGAAACCGTCTTTTCCACAAAAATTACATCTGGCTCCAGAGCCGTGATTTTGTCGACTAGTATTGCCATATAGCTTCGCTCTTGTTCTAGAAGAGTGTCTAATGAGCTCATACGCCCAGCACCGTTTGAGCGATCGTAACTTATTCCACATCCAAAAAGCATTATGCGAGGATTTACAATCTGCCGAGCCATTTGCTTGTGACTTAAGTGCTTGTGGCAAACAGTTCCAGCCAGCCATTTGAAATTGTAGCTCTGCTTCGTCTGAACCGTGGCGGGCAGAGCAATACTTTTCACTTTGACAAGGTTTGAGTAATTAAAACCACTAGCCGATCGAAACTTCATGCTGAAGAGAAGATGGCCAGTAACAACAAACGCCATATCTTCCAGCGTTGATGCTAGCTGATCTAAGTCAAAGGATTCAAGTTCCGATAAGCCGTTCGACAATGCTGACAGTATTTTGTTGATACCGTCGCGAATCCGATCATGGGCGATGTGCTACACCAAATTATAGGAAGGATATAAAGTTACCAGTAAGAATTAGATTGAGATAGGTCGAAAGTCAAATTACCATGTACTTATCCAATACGATCTCTCGTTGCGTATAGAGATTTCTACCTTGTGAGCTAGATAGATGCTTTTGTACTTTTATATCGGTACAATATCCGCTTTTTGATGTAATCCCATCGACTTCCATAAGCCCGCCACTTTCAAATGCATCCAAGAGTTCCGCGCTCAAGTGTCTATTTCGGGCGTTTGCCTGAGAATGATGTTTCTGATGTGTTGTTGATCCGGAAAACACTTTGGCTGGATTGATCACCAGGGTTGTAAGTTCTGCAGACTGCTGTAAATCTCCAGAATCACTGATATTGGTGTCGACCGGGGATAGCAGCGAAGAAACTTCATTTCTGTGATTTGGGGGGACGAAAACAAGCGGCGAAGGCTTTCTATTATCCACTAGTCCGAAATGGTAATGAGATGAAAATTTGTCAGATTGTCTCATTAAGGAGTCTTCTGACATCTCAGCTCTACTCGGACTTTGTAATAAATTCTGCCTCGAGATCATTACCTCTGTAGTTCCTTTTACTGTTTCATCCGCGAATTGTAGACAAAAAGTACACACTCGAATGGCGCTCGGAAAGTCGTGGGGTGTTCCATCAATAAAATTATTGCTGCATTCGTAACAAAAAATTTGTCCGCATAATCGGCAATGGTGGCGCCGTCGGAAGAGCGAAAAAGCTGTGGAACATTCGTAGCATACCTAAATCTCGATAACAGTGAAGAATTTCGAAGTCAACAACTAAGAACAAGCGCACAAGACGTACACCTCACCTTACAGAGATGGTCTGGCATCCAATACTGATTTTTCGCTGACGCGAGAGAAGAGTACGTTTTAGCAGGCGGTACTAAGCATTTATATTTCGGGAGTCATAAATGTTCATCGCCTTACAGTCAGTCAACCACCTACCTGCCGAGTTCGAATTCTTAGATTCCTATAAGAAATTGAGGGTCAATTAACGAATCAAATGGATAACATTTATGGATGATGCTTTTCACTCAAGGTCAATCGGAATTCTTACTTGAAGTGTGGAAGACAAAGAGCCAGGTATAGGAAAGCTCGTCAAGCTAGATAAGAAAAGGCAGCAGAATCATTAACTGCATTAGCCAAGATTTTTGCTATAAGTCCGCACCGCGAAATGTTTTTATCTAGACACTTGTTCGGCATAAGACGTGATTCCGCGTTCGCCATTCAGGAAAACAAAAGGTATCCTTTTTTAAAAATTAAAATTCGGTTCATACCGGTATTAGTGACTTTGTTTATATAGCATCCAGGAAATCACCATGGTGTCGGGGAAGTACTGCTTTGATGAGGAATCTTTTTCGGAAGAGACGTTTGATGTGGGAACCTTTTTGGAGAATTACCGTACACGCAACCCTATGGAAACTATCTACCAGGATTTAAAGCAATTCCAAGCAGCGCTGGAAAACCAACTTGTGTCTATTATCGACAAGGATTACGCCGAGTTCTTGCAGCTCTCATCCAAGCTCAAGGACGTAGACGAAGCCGTCTCCAGCGTACGTGCTCCCATTCTGGTAGTGATCGATCGTGTTGATGATGTGCAACATACTATGGTAATTGTTTAATGACGTACGGATTGATGCAAGATTTCCTAAACTGATGAGAATTTTATAATGAGAGTGTAGAAAGCTTTGCATAGCAAAATCCAAAGACATTTGCAAATGGCAGACGACCTGCATCAGCAAAAAAAAGACTTGCAGCTGAGTATTGAGATATCACAGAAACTGCTGCTGCTAGAAGATTTGCTACAGATCGAGTTGCAGCTGCAATGCGATGATAAGACGCTGGAACTGAGCTTGGGGGGGCAAAATAGGCCACTTGATCTTGACGAAGATAGCGACATTGAATTTGAAAATTTTGAGCAAGTGAAAAATTCCCTCTTTGTCGCAAACACAGTCGAGAGCTGCGCGAAGCTTGAGCGCGCGGCGCAAATTTTCATCCAGCTGGATCTTGAGCTCATAAAGGTCACGCATCTTGACACTTTTCAGGTATTGTATGCAGTAGCTGAATTCTTTATTCTTGATTCTAACAGTATCATTTAATTTTGTAACTTGAGAACGCGGAAAAACGTCTTGCTGTAATTGAAGAAACGCTTTTGCATCGATTAGAGACGGAGTTCACGACCGAGATTTTTCCTGATACGTTTTATGATCGTGACCATGCTTTTAGTGCGGTGACATTGAGTTTCTTGCTGCGAGCATACGTGCTTCTTAACAAGAGTCGTATCCCTGAAGAAATGATAACGCGATTGATTGTTCAGCCATTCATTGAAGAACATTTGACGCGCAGTAAACTCGACGGTAGAATTCGCGGCTCCTGTGAAGGTATAGCTCATATTTATGAGTCCATTCTACACTTTATTACTAGCAAATTTTCGGCTACGCTTGCGCTACCAATATGTCAGGTGGATAGCAAATGCTCAGTGGACATTCTTGGAAACGCAATATGGAAGCCGATTCAGGAGCATTTGTCGACAAAGCACGAAGTTATATTTCAGGCCGCTGATTCTTGGCGTTTTCACCAATGCTACACGATGAGTATGCGATTTCTTGCTGACGTTGAGGATCGCTTTTGCACCAGTGAAATCGTGAAGATTCGTTTTAGATCACACGAGAGCGTTGTGCAGTTCAAGGAAAAGTGGAATATTGAAGTCTACTTTCAACTTCAAGCTGTAAAATTGGCTTCAAGTCTAGAAAAGTCAATTGGTATCAAGCGTGACAATTTAACGTTTTCAGACGCGCAAAATAGCACGATATGCTCAGATGGCGCATTGGGACTGACTTTTGAGAGCTCAAAATGTTTGTGGCAGGCAATGCACGACTGTTGGAGCGACCATACATTTCTTGCACCACTGCTTTCTAGCTTTTGCAAACTCTGCGTTCAGCTTTTAACCTATTACATTGACATTTGGACAGAGCCATTGTTAACTACCGTGGCAGAGATCAACAATGGTTCCGTTGTGGATATCGATGCTATGTCACTGGTAGTTTTGCCATCCTATGAAGATGTTTTGTTTGCTGCGAGTGACTTCCACTTACTCCATGAGAAGGTATGGCAGCCAGAGCCACATTGATGCGATGCTTGATGACTAAGTGTTTATAGATTTCAAATGACCTCCAAAGCATCGTCGAGAGCCGTATCTGTGCTTTCATAGACGACAATCATGCCTTTGTGATTGATTTATTTCAAGAGGTTCCAACTTAACGTCATTTTACTGGGTATTAACTCCATCTTACTAATTTTATTTGGCTGTTCGTTATAGCCGCTAGCGTCTTTGGCGAATCTCGAAGCCAGCTGTTGGTCTACAGCTGTAACAAATGTTATTGCTGATTGTAAAAAGGTCCTACCTGCAATTCGGTAGGTTTGACATTTTCGGATACCTGCAACTGGTGTTAATGGCTGGTTGCCTTTCATTTTCGTAGCACTGTGAAGGGGCAGTATCAGATGACAAACAAACCTTCGCCTTCGACTCCGTCGTCCTATATTTCTAACATCGTCCGGTAAAAAAAGTATTGGTTGATCCTCAATGCAGCCAAAACTAATGTTTATTCTTGACACAAAGGCCTATACAAGAGTTTTTTAGAACGTGGGGCGTTTACTTCGATGTAGACAAAAAACAGAATTTGTTACAGGCCATTGTTGAGGAAGTCTGTAATTTTTACTTGACCCTTTCATTGGAGCTCTTGAGATCAGCATCGGAGCTCGAGGAGTCTCTTAGAAGCCGAAAATTACAGCGGCGCCTTGGCTCCAGCTCAAATCGTGGCAACAACGTCATAACCGATACGGAGAAGATGCGAATGCAATTATTGCTCGACCTCAAAGCGATGGAAAGGTTCGTAGCTCTTACTTCGTTGCTGCATTTCCTATATTTTTTAAGCTGACCTTAGCGATATGTGAGAATCAGAGAAGTCGTAGCACTGGGGCTGAACGTGCAGCGTTGCGAAGTACTGCAAGCTGCTACATGCAAACTGTCTGAGTCAAATTATTCAAGAATTTAGAAATTAAGACAATGATGTTCTTGACATAAGTCGTTTGATTGGACAAAAAGCTAAGGCTGTACAAATTGCTTTGCCATGATAAGTGTGGGAGAATCACTTGTACGATGGAGTCTCTACTTAGCAGTGACGACTCTTTCGCTGCTGAAAATTGTGGAACTTTCAGTAGAAAAAAAAACTATTTTGATGCGAATCTTTAAGAATAAGTCCGAGAAGGAGAATCTCCCATCCGGTTTTCCCGGGTTGGTAGGCAACACACCGATGATAGAGCTCACCAGTTTGTCTAAGGCTACTGGATGCAAAATTCTGGTTGGCATAATCATGTGGCCTGGATTGATGTCTAGGGATCTTAGTAGTCAATTCAACAATACCATTAACGTTGTGTATACGCAGGCCAAAGCAGAGTTTTTAAATCCGGGCGGCAGCTCCAAGGATCGAATTGCGAAATGCATTATTGAGGATGCTGAGCGTCGGGGGCTTTTAAAAAAGGGTGGAACTATCATTGAGGGTACTTCAGGTAGCACGGGAATCAGCTTGTCACTTATCGCGCGAGGTATGCATAGGAAATATTTAAGCTAATTGAAGCTTCATAGTGCATATGAACATTGGTATGTTGTTTCAGCCCATGGATACCGATGCATCATTGTTATGCCTGACGATCAAGCGAAAGAGAAAAAACAATTACTGGAATTGTTTGGTGCAGAGGTCATTCTGGTGAAGCCGACATCCATTGTGAACGCCAAACATTTTGTGAACGAAGCCAAGCGTTTGGCACGAAATATTAAAGGTAAGCAATTATTGTACGAGTCTAAAATTGTTATATTATGGCATGCTTTATGATGGCAGGAGGCTACTTTATCGATCAGTTTGAGAATACAGCAAATTTCGACAGCCACTATACCACGACTGGTCCCGAAATTTGGCGGCAAACACAAGGTAAAGTTGATGCTTTTGTAATGGCTGCAGGTATGTCTCTCTTTCTGCTGCATTGTGAATCCCGCGTCTCTGGCTTTATTTTATGCGTTCCTTTGACGATTTCGGTTGTAAGGCACAGGAGGCACTATCGCTGGAACATCAGCATATTTAAAAAAGCAAAATCCGAGGATACGCGTCTTTCTTGCTGATCCCCCAGGATCGAGTTTGTATAACAAGGTAATTGAATTTGTGTCCAGCTGGGTCAACTTATCTCAGACTTAAGCAATACACGTGTGCGCAGGTGCGAAGTGACGTCTGCTATGCTTCCCAGCAGGCTGAAGCCAAGGTGCGACGACACAGGTATGAGCATTTTCTGTTTTTACTTGCAAGCAAGACTTTGTGGTACAACTGCTGCAAATTACAGATACGACACCATCGTGGAAGGTGTGGGTATCGACCGATTGACCAAAAATTTCATGCTCGCTAAGATTGATGACGCGTTTAAAGTAACGGACCAAGAAATCGTAGAGATGTCTCGTTTTTTGTTGCGTGAAGAGGGCATTTTTGTGGGTAGCTCGAGCGGACTTAATTGCGCTGCTGCTGTGCGCGCTGCGCACAAGCTCGGTCCTGGTCACACCATCGTGACGATTCTGTGTGATTCAGGTCAGCGTCATCTTACAAAGTTCTGGGATGAAAAACATATTCGCGAGAAGTGGCAATTAGAGGCCAAGGCCACTCATCTCGAATTTCTTGACGGCTCTACTGGACAACCCTAGGTTTAACTAGCAATTCACCTCCAAATTTGCGTGTCAAATACTTTTCTCTTGGATTCTGCAATTCGTTGGATAACTGAAGTGTAAGTGGACTTATTGATTAGAAACACCGTGCCCTTTCGCGCGCCGTAAACATTCAAGGCTCTCCTATTGATCGAGCACAAATGCAACTTTAATTTATTCGACATAGACAATAGGGCGTGTGACGATGAAGGAGCGCCTAGATCTTCCTCTCGGTATGTGCAGCGCGAACATTCCAAATGTCGTCCTGATGATCTCACTTGTATCTTTGCGTAATTTCAAGAAGTCATTTTCTTAGCAAACGAATGTCCCCAGGCTACAAAGATTTGATGCAGAAATATTTGCAGCGGTGGAAACAGAATGTGTAGATTTCATGGTCACAGAAAAGATAAAGGTCAGGCTGTGATAGATTTATCTCAAGATGATCATTGTGCAAATGCAAGCGAATAGTGATAAGAAGTCGGTAGCTAGCCAACAGGTCGCCAATTGGAGCGAAATGAAGAAGAACGCACTTTAAAAGAGGAAAAGGGCACATTTTTTCATATGTAAAGCAGCCAACGATTTGTCAGAAGCAGAAGGTGCAATCAACATCGACTCGACAGGTCGTGCGAACTAGTCAAACTGAAGTATTATATTATCAGAAAAAAATCTTGTCACGAACCAACAGGTTAAATCGAAGGTAATATTCCCAGGCAGGCTGCGCGAGGCTTTTCTGCAAAGAAAGTTGAAAAGCAAACGAAGAGTCAGAAGGTGTCTATGGGGGTTATTCTTTGCTTAGACCCCACTCAGCGGACGATGAGAAGCCTGAACGTACATTACTTAACGTAACATGAAAAAATATATTCACAGTGACACGTCCCTATTTGAAAGCTTTCTCAAGTTTTAAGCGTCGAAGCACCGTTTTTCGACCCAAAAGATCAATTGTATCACCAAGACCAGCGCCAACATCCATGCCCGTCAGGTAGTAACGTACTGGCATTAGGACCCTGCAAATATTACTCAATTAGCAACCACATCATAAGTATGAGCTGGATCAAGCAACTAACTTTTTAAGCCCTAAATTTCGGCTTTTTGCAACAGCCTTGATACATTCTGTGATTTGGTCCTGCATAAAGCAATATCATACGTAGTCAAATTAACAGCTACAAAGTAATGCAAAGCCCAATACATTCCGGTGTGAAGTCCTCATCAGACAAGTTTTGCAGATTTGCTCTGATATCAGCCACAAGCTCGGATGTTCTTGTATCTATAAATTTAAGCTTCATATGTTGCGCAACAACTGTGGTGAAATTAGGCTCGGCGAAAAATGGGATACATAATGGTCCAAATTCAGACAGCGCGCAAACTCGCTCCTAAAGTAGAATTGTAAGCTTTAACTGACCAAGATGATGCGTATTGAGCGTACTTTTATACCTTCATAAGATCCAATGCTCGCCACACATATCTCACACCAAACTTTTTGAAAAGGTCAGCTGGAGTTGTTGGTATTCCTGCCGCTTCCAAAGACGAAGACATAAGCGGGAGCACGTCATTCAAAACAGCTATTTTTCGCGTTTCGGAAATATTTTCTTCTGCAAATAGTGCGCGCACATGGCGCGAATTTATCCAGCGAAGACGATCAATATTTACAACAGAGCCCGCCTTGTTCACGTTATCGATCGAGAACTACTTACACACGCGAATCAGCACCAATGTTTCGAATCATAGCTTATTGAATGACATACTTGCTCTTCGAGTTCTTTCATCTGAAAAATTTCCTGATTGTTACCATCGGCAGGATTCCAGCCTAACATAGCAACGAAGTTGACTAATCCACTCGGAAGAAATCCTTTATGCTGTACATACACACGAATGTCAACATTTTTCGTTTCGATAAAAAAAACTACAAACCCTGAAATCTTCAACAGCGACATCCCCCTGACGCTTCGACAACTTGGAGCGATTTTCATTCAGAAGAAGACCCAAATGTGCCCACTATCAACACTTTATGAGTAATCTCAATTTTGCTAATACTAGTGCTCACTTACGACTGGGATCTCGTATCCCAATGCCTTGTACAAGATCACATGCTTGGGAGTCGACGGCAGCCACTCCTCACCGCGGATAACATGGGAAATGCGCATGGCATGATCATCCACCACGTTCGCGAGGTGATATGTCGGGTAACCATCACTCTTCATCAGAACCTGATCGTCAATGCCGGTGTGGTCGAATTGAACATATCCACGGAGCAAGTCCTTAACAACCGTCTTTCCCTCGGGTATTTTCAATCGGATCACAAATGAATCTCCGCGACCAACTCGCGCTTTCACCTCGTCGTCATTCAAACCTAGACATGCACGGTCATACATTGTTGCCTCACCATGACGCGTCTGCGTTTCACGCAGCTTTTGCAGTCGTTCACTAGTACAGAAGCAGCGATATGCGTGTCCACTCTGCAACGTAACCAATCAAAAGTTTTGACTCATTCATTCCTAAGCAAATCACGGTACCGTGTATCCTACACACCTCGACTAGCTTCTTAACCGCATCTCGGTATATTGAAAGACGCTGAGATTGGATGTACGGACCGTACGGTCCACCAACATTAGGACCTAAACCACATGTTCATGTCACCATCAGCAGCGTTCAGCCAGCAAAGAAACGATATCGTTTCTTTCCACCCTCGTCTTCCTCGACACCGCACCACTTGAGGCTGTTCACAAGTGCTTCCACCGAACCCTCTACTTGTCGTGTCTGCATAATTAGGTAGTTGAACAATAAGCCCGCAGATATATAAGCGATCGATTCTTCCAGCTAAAATACGACTCCTACTTTATCAGTATCCTCGATACGAAGGATGAATTGTCCGCCAGAGCTTTTGGCAAACAGATAATTAAAAAGTGCAGTGCGCAGCCCGCCCAGATGCAAATATCCCGTGGGGCTTGGAGCATAGCGTACACGAACAGCACTTCTGGTTGTATCTGAAGCGAAAGAGTTTGTGGTGCAGCTTCGCAGTTTCAGAGCTGTCGTCCTTCTCAGCATGCGACGCCGTAGACGAGTGGGCAGCATACCTGACTGTTAAATGTGAAAAGTTTTATATACATGTATATTTAGAAGAAAACATTTTATCCCCTCAAAACAAATAACTTGTGCGACAACACCAGGAAGCCCGAGTAATGTACTCGATAGCTTTCACAATACGCAAGTCAGGGTCGCTTGCTGAGGATTTCTTGTAAGCTATTTTCAATATTCCTCAAGTTATAATTTTATGGAGCGATCTTTCAAGCTTTGACGACTTCATCACCTCCACAAATAAACCAGAAGGCAAAACCCGTTTTTTCGCTTTCATGCGCAATAGGTCTCAATCAAGTTTCTTTTGGCAAAAATGAAGAATTACGGAGCTTTTCATCCTTGTTATGGTGAGTAAAGTGGTATTAATCCTTCCAAGAATCGGTTGCACGGAATTAGTGGGGTGCTCAAAGAGTCGCAGGTAAACACAACTTCCAAAGCGTAGCTCAAGAAGCGTCATCCGAAACTTTCGTTGACAGTGAGTCTGAGTTACGCGTGTTCCGCTCAAACTGCAAGAGTTTCACTGCATAGTCGACTACAAGTCGAATATCTGAGTATAAGGATCAAGCATGTATTTTTAAATTTCATCGGTGAGAAATAGCGGTGCAGCTGCTGCCAATTGAGTCAGTTGTAGCTAACAAACTCGCCGTCCAAAATCGAGTATTGGCCACGTGATTGTACGCACCAAGCGTCGTCATAAATTATCCATGCTTTTCAGCTTTGCCCCCTGTCAGATTAGAAAAAATGTTTGCAGGCAGATAATCCATTATTGATGTCGAAATTCCGTGTTCAGCAACAAATGTAGGATCGCGAGGCTGTTTGCGGGAATATGCTGCGGAGCCAGCAAAATTGTGGTGCGAAGCGAACGTGTGACCGACTCGTGCACGACAATGACAGCAAAGTGTTGGGCAAGAACGCCGTCTTCGTCCCCACAGCTTAGCTCAATAGAACAAGACCACACAACCACCGCTGACCTACGCGAGATTGCGAATGCCTTACAATCGTGATTTGATTTGTACTGTCCGCGTTCTTATTATTATCATTTTGTCAAAAATTGGCGGGTTTCATTCAGACCATAGCCTCGTCAAAGAAGCCATACGCAAAAGTGATGTCACTGTGCAGATTTTCACAGAATTTCGGTTAAGTTACAATCGGACCATAGGCATACATCTGCTCAGATGACGATGATGCTATCGTAACGAGGGTCTCCCAGTCGGTAGTTACTCGGCGACGCACTATCGTCTGGAAGTACCGCACGAAACGCATTTCGAAAGTCTTTTTGCACAAAAGCAGGGGTTCAAAAAATCACACCAATTCTCTCCACACTTCAAGCAAAGAAGGATCGGTGTAATATTTGATTGGGTTCTTCGTCGTCCTTACAATGATTAACAGCTCAAGTTTTCGACCATGACTAACAGTCGAATGGAATTCTCACTGAAAGAAGACATTCCCATCACTAGCCTTAGAGTGAACCGTTTTGCGAATCATCCAATTCGATAATCGGCTACTTGCTGTGGCATGGCTGTCTTTGGAGAGGCAAGTTCTTTCTCGACAAAAAGCATTGTGTTGCGGGCGAAAGATTCAGACGGGCTTTCTGTTGCAGTGTATAAGGGATGAAGCAAGAGTTGAGGATACAAAAATCCGTTTGAGGGGAGGTATATAAAAAGGCACTTTTAGTGTCGTCGTGCAGAGGCCACTTTTATCAAATATCTGCTGAAGCCCATCAGTAACTTTTCACGTAAAAATGTGTGGTAGTATTCATGCTCAAGCTATATATGTTGTCCATCAAGTGACAATTTGAAGTGGCATTTTTTTATCACCTCAATCTGCACTTACAATCATGGGTGCGGCGCGCCTCACACAATTGAGTGCACGATGCATTAAGAGTTCTAATGCTTTTGACTGAGCACAAATGGAGAACTTTTACCTCAAGAAAATTGTGTTTCAAGAAAAGCATCACGTTGACATTGTGTTCTGTTTCACCTTTGATCGATTCCAGTTACAGGTGTCAGCCGAGACCATCACTAGCGTCGGTGTTTCTAGATCCACAATGTTCCTGCAGATAGTGTGCAGAAATCTCGATGCGTATACCTCAAAGAAACAGAATAGAGAATAGAAACTGTCACAAGTGCAGATCTTTAATGTTTGCGTTTTCGATTAGAAGTTGAGAAATCGTTTTCCGAATGTTGTTCCTCGCCAGAAAATTGATGACCTCCAAGCCATCTTCTTCCCTCTTCAATCTCGAGATCGAGCTGGTGCATGTTTACAATTTGAGCCATTGCAATAATTCAGCTAGTGTTTGATATCGAAACGAGGTGTGCCTGCTCTGTCAAGCAAGCATCCTTCAATCGCAAAGATGAGAAAAAACTATTCTTGCAGCTGCTGAAATTGAAGAACAAGTGAAACCACCGCTCGGTCACTATTGTCACTTGGGAATTTTGCATCCTCGCTGAGATTATGCTTGATCGATTCAAGAAAGATATTCCGACGTTGATTTTGCTGCAAGGCTAATCGCTCCTGAGGTTCACCACCAGACAGCACGCGATAGTCTTGAAGCTGGTTCGATATTCATCGACGAATCTGCAGGCCAACGCGATGAAGTAAGTTTAGTCGTGTTTTCAAGCGATCGCGGCGCTGCATACATAAAAGAGGACGTCAGTCAAATGTTACACTGAACATTCTGCCATGCGTTACCTGCAAATCTTTCTTTCTACACTTTTCTAATTCCTCATTTTCAATTCACATTCAGCTTGGTAAACCAGCACTAGCTCGATGCCGGCGGTTTTCGCACTTATTATTCACCTCAAAAGTATTAACTTCCCAGAAGTTGCGAATACCATCGGGTGGTTCAAACATCGCCATCATATGTTCAAAGGCTTCATCAGGCACTTGTGAATCCTCATTTCGTATAGCATTTCGAGTGTGACAGTGTTCGGCAGGAACGTTGACGTACAGGAGCGCAAATCCGCAATTTTCTTTAAATTGAATTGACAAGTCAGTCACAATGTAATACAATCAAAGAAAACAAATAATCATTACGCTAGACAGCAAGCTGGAAGAAGCGTTTGCGCAGACTTTGATACTGAAAGCTGTCGTCAGTCAGTAGCACTAGCTGCGATGTGTTTTCGATGCTCTTCACGGACGCTATATGCTCTCGTAGACGTTCGGTTACTACGACTGCCATTTTCTGCTGGCAGGCCTTCCACTTTTTAGGCTCGGACGCGACCGATCGACAGCTTATGTCTCCAACCATATGCTTGTAAAGGGCGTCAAAGGAGGATTTGATCATACCGCCTATTACCAGGATGATCCATCTCCGAGAGAGACTTTACCAATGTCGTTTTTCCTGCTGCAGGTAACCCGCTCACGAGCACGAGAACGGCTCTACTTGAGCTTTTAAGCATTTTCCTACCTCCCATTGTTGTTTTCAAATACTGGCGATATTCATCTATATGAGAATTTGATGGTCTAAACGATCGAAGAGCAATTATCGATAGAAGTTTTCTTGCGGGGGGCAATGCCATTTAGCTACACGAGAAACCGTATGTTTCTGTTACCTAGAAATTCTCGTTATTGCTTTGAGTGCCGGCTGGCTGTAGTTATGCGTTGTGTTTCCTGCTCTTCCTACAATGATCAATATAGTTAGCCTCTCGTATGTCATATTAAATCCTTGTGTGCGTACCGTTTGCTTCGTCGGTTTAACGCGTCGGCACGACACTGAAGGCGCTGAAGTTGGCATTGTTGGGCGCGATACAGCCGCCACTTGTGCCATTCGCAGGGCACATCGACCGCCACAAATCGCAATGCTAATTCCAATGCTGGCAGAAGGACGTTGAACAAGAGACTTAGAAATCCGAGAAGCGCCACAAGCTCCAGCGCTAAAGCATAAAGCATTCTTTACTCTCTGTATTCCAACCAATCGCAACAACACGGTCCAAGAGTGCACGAAACACTTGGCTATTATTTTAAGGTTCTCTACCTCGTCGATTGTTTAAGTGTGATTGTCTATCAACGGGCTATTATACGATCGAGGACGTGGCTTCGCGAAGCTCGTCTCTCAAATATTACCAGGCAGTACATGGTGGTGCATCTGCAGCCTGACAACAAATTACGAGCTTGATACGTGACTAGCCTGGTGGTAACCACCTTGAAATGTTGGCGGTAAGTCAATGCTGCCGCCTAGATCCAGCAGCATATGCTCCAACCGAGACACGATCACATCGAAGGAAGGCCGATCCGCCGCATCTGACTTCCAGCACTCGATGATGAGATTAATATACTCGCTGTCCATGCCTTCAGGAATAGGGGGGCGAATTCCGGCATTAATCGTTTTGTTATAAAACTTGATAGGAGCCATTCCAATAAATGGATTCTGGAGGCCGTTAGCGATCATTTCCCACATCACAATGGCAAAACTGGAAATAAATCAAGAGTCGGTAAGCCATATTAAAGTACAACCTTAACGCGAGAGTACCTCCAATTGTCAGCCTTGAATGTATAGCCCAGGTCTTCGTCCAGCAGAACTTCAGGGGCAACCCTGTGCAAAAAAGCAGTTCTTTGAAGAAAAGAAATATCAATATCACCTAAGCGCCTGCCCTTACCATCCAGTTGTTCCACACTGTGTAAAGGCAGTATCCGAATCAAGCACCTTACTGATGCCGAAATCAGCCACCTTGACTCGCCAGTCGTCATCCACTAAAAAATTATGGGACTGTAAAAAGAAAACAATGGGTTAGCATGCTACATGCAAGTGATAAGTCGCAATTAGAACCTTTATATCGCGATGGATAATGCGCATCGAGTGAAGATACTGTATGCCTCGTGCTGCATCAAGCATCATTCGTACTTTAAACTATGTAAATTGGTAATGAATGAGTTTCAAGTTACATCGATGAAATCGTTCAATCACCCATACCTTCCATGGAATCGTCTCGAAATTGTTGCTGTGAATCACTTCGAACAAACTAAACAAAAATGACAGGTCAGTTTGAGCCCTAGTGTGACATTTTTAGGTACTAGCACGTGAACCTTTTGCGAGAGCAATATTCCGTAAGAATCATCAGCTTTGGATCTGTGCATGCCCCGATAAATAAGACAATATTCGGGTGCTTCAATTTTCTTAACAGTGCCACTTCTTGTTTGTAATCGCCAAGAATTTTGTCTGTCAACCGAGCATAACGAAACGACTTCACAGCCACCTCGGCAGCGCTATTACAATTCATCCATAGTCCACGGTAGACTGTAGCGGCCTTGCCACAGCCTAATTCGTTCTCCTTGCCATTCAAGATGTGTATACTTTCGAATGGAATTTCCAAATACTGGTTTTGCGATTCAAGAACGCGTGCGTGCTCCTGTAATGTTGAGACATCTTCTTTCGCAAGCTCCTCAGAAATTGACCTGGTCAAGGACGGGTCTGCTCGATTTACAACTTTATGCTGACTTGTTGAAGTCAGCAAATCTGATTCCGTTCTATCGCGGGATAAAGATTCGTCGATTGCGTCAACCATGCGCGCGGTGGGCTTCAGATTTTCACTCGCCTTACGCCGAATTAAATAGTGCGTCATAGTTAAAATCTTTCTCAGTTCAGCTTCACGAGCTTCAACTCCTCGCTGAACTTCGTGTCGTCTTTCAGCTGACAAACTTACAGCTGCATCGCCCGAGTTGATCTACAGCAGCAATACAGTTAATTTAATGTTTGGTAAATGCAAGTATAAGCTAGACATGCTCAATTGTACCTGCTCAAAAAGCTTCGCAAGGACTGAATTCTTGCCATTGTCTTTGTCATCGACGTGTATTTTATCACCGTGAGCAAGTCCAATGTCTTTTCGAATGCCTGCATTCTCGTCCTCCAGCATCACTGCGGTTGACAGCTGGGAGTCTGCACATAGAGAGAGGAAGCATTTTCAGTATAATACTATGCGACAAAGCTTGATTATGCTTATGGAAATAATAGACCTTTGGCCAAATCATCAGTCTGCCGAATCCAAACGATTCGTTGTCGATACTTCGGAATTCCAATGTTCGAAGCAATCTCTTGACGTAACACACCAACTGTGGCATCGAATGGAATTTCTAGGCATACGGGTGCTTGTGTATCACCTGAAGCTTGGATACAAACCTAACACGACAAAACATTCGAAAATTTGGGCCAAGAGTGGCTGAAAGTATGCGAAAAACGTACGACTCGAAGCAACAAGCAGTCATTGTCCACTGCCCGTCTAATACGCTCACGAATAGCTTCTTCCGCTATTTCAGACTGAGTACTAGCAAAGAAATGAACCTGGAATATACAGCGCGAAATTTTGAGCATATACTTCACACGAGATTTTCTATCTCTACCTAAGCAACGAGCTTACGTGGTGAGGAAAGACACGATAGATTTCGCTACCGTGAACATGAGCAGTTACAGCACGCTGAAGCTTAGAGTTAGATGCAAATGAATCTCGGCGTTGAGGTGATCGCTCTCCATTTGACCCAGGTCCAAACCAAGCATCGATCTCGTCATCTGATGTGCCACCAATAAAGTTACTTTCTGAGCTCTGCCATGTAACTAGAACGTATTTCGACACGATTCGCTCAGTTCCGCGATGCAGCGGAACATCCACTCTTAAGTAAACATACATTGTGCTTCCCTCCTCTAAAACCGACGTAATTCCACCAATTCCTTTTAAAGCATACAACCCAGTCTGTTTCATCGTTAAATCTTCCTAGAAAATTCAAGCAATTGTATCAGATACTAACCATGCCCTTTTCCACGACGATCATTCTACGAGTCGAAGTCTCAATATCGGAGAGATCATAACCACAGACAACCCAGTTGAATGGAGAGGTATCCGATCGAATATCCTGTACCGTTGTCGTCACCTCTGGAGTGAATTCGATATCGTTCGTAATAAATCGCCTAGACGAACTTCGTGGTCGCCGCCGCGGAGTTCGCAAAAATACCGATCCATCCCTACGAAAATGACAACAACACCACGGTAATGAACAAGTCATGCATCTAAATGTTACATTTAATTAGTTTACGAGCGTTAACGTACATAAGTTCTTCTGGATTGTGCAGTATCACGTGTGCGACGGCGCCCATATGTTTCTGCAATATGTTAAGGGATTAAACTCTGCATATCTCGCTATACTGAATTATTCTTCCAGTTGTGGACTCACTTTAATGACTTGATTAAACTCTGCATACTTTGTTCGAAGATATATAGGAAGGTTGCGTCCCTTCCAACAGAATGACAGAACGTTAGTCGGCGCTGAGTTCTCGTCGTAGCAATCGATGCTTGTTAGCCCATAGCAAAGAGAGTTAGGTGAGAAGAGCTCGGCCGGCCACTGTGACTGATCCGAGATGCTACCGTGTCCGGACGCAAGCAATTTCAAAGTATTTCGCTTCTCCCGTTGGTCCTATGATCCGTGTACAAAATCTAAGAAATAAGAAGTGTTACCAATTAACGCCAAAGACTCACCGCAAAGGTGAAAATGACCCACGTAGGCGAGTTCTTCGTCTTGATGTCGTGTAGCACACTATCTACTTGGCTGAAGCGCAAATCTTGGGCCTTTACAGTGCGCACAAAAGTGCGCGGCACTTCCATGCCGTTTCGCTTGGAGTGGGCAAAGCACAGAATCTTGGCAGTTGTGTATGCAAACTACAGCGGCCACCGCCAGTCCTGTTGTTCCTTTCCTTTCTTGCCAATTGCGGTCGTCTCTTGTCTCTGTCTCTAGCCCAACAGATCTGTCACGACAAAGCGTAGTTATAACGTTTCCCTCTTTCTTCGACTGTATTTCCTCACCTAGTGCGGCAACTGTCCGACAAGGAAAAAAAGAAGAGAACCTAGCGGCATGCGCTGATTGTCCTAACTTTCTGTCGAACGAACACTTAAGTCTGCCTCAATCCCGCACTCAACGCACCAGTACAGGTTTGTATTGGTTTAAGTTGCGAAAAACAACAGCAGATCGTAGAGTCGCCTCGGTGAAGCAATATGACCAATAATTGCATTTTTTACTACATAGACCAACAATTGGTTAAAAATATTTGTCGGACAATGTATCGCAACGTCGTTGTCTTGAATCACCCTAAGATGACCATCAGATCATTACGCCAGATACCTTCCTGAGGAAGCATTGAAGGTAGCAAGTGAAAAGCAACAGCAAGGAGCGAATGATTGGAGCGATTTATGAATTCATGTGACCTTTAGTGCTGTGAGTAGTTATTTTTGGCGCTAAGAAAGTCTGCTGCACTGGACGGCAGGCAAGTCAACGAGTCCACAAAAACAATAGTAAGTTTCGACTTGAGCTGTATTCAAGCACTACGTGTAATAGAGCTCAAGACCCATCCCATCGTGAATCTCGTAGTCCTCAAGCGTAATATGGTCTTTATAAATGGTGTACCATTTCTGGATGCGAATTTTCTCGGGCCGTGTGCCCACTTGCGCCGCTACCAGTTTCTTTAAGTCACCCACTGTGTCGTCTTCGTTGCACTTGACACGTATTTTCTTGCCCAAGCGGTCATTCAATATTACTTCGATCATCCCTGACAACTTTTTTATACAATCATTCTACCGGTACGCCGAGTTAGGTCTTTACCGGTATTAACAACGTTTTTGTACTTCCTTCGGTTTAGTGGATTGGGGGCCTAACAAGTGCAATTTGAGCACACCTGTTATCAAGAAAGAATATTTGCACGCAACGCATACTGCAAGCGACAAGTTCTATAGTTCCTCAAATTGAGAAGGGTTCATTGAGACGAAATTGCCTGTTCTTGACACCCGAACAGCTGCCGCAAGAAGCGGAACGCAAGCAAAAAATGAGTCAATTTATTGTAGCAGGTTGATATAAGCATTTTGTTATTGTATATTTTTGGTTAAAGATCCCACAAATCGCTGTCGTCAAACTCAAAGTTGGACATTTCATTACGCCGGGGTGACTCCTCATGACCCTCTTCTTGTGTGATCACAACCTGGTCTCCCGCTCTCAGCGAAGTATTCGTAATCTTTCAATGTGGTCTCTATGCTTTAGTAAAGCCCACACTATCGGTGGAAGGGACTTCTGATTTATCAGACAACCAAACTACAGGACGCTCCTCGTCATTGCAATCACTACCCTCTTTTCCGAATTAAGCGTCCACGGCGAACTTCTCCTGCATTGAAGATTGATGACAACCTACATCCTCACAGTCTTGAACATCTGTCGCGCTTTTATCATTTGCCTGACCACCGACCTCTCCATCCTCATATATCACAATTTCGTTTTCGCATTCAATTTCTTGCTGCTGCATCTCACTGCCCGCTTCGTATGCAGAACAAAACAGTGCATATGGCCATCCCTCTGGAGGAATCCACGTGCTTTCTCCGGTATAGTGATTAAACCAATAGTGGTGGTTAGAATTAGCGTCAAAGCCTTTTTCCCAGTCACCAAATATTTGGCTTTCCTCGTCATCGATAATGGTGTCTTCTTCAAGCTCGAGAGATCCCTCACCAGTATTTATTTTCTCTGCCACAACTTTACTGTTCCCACCGCAGGCGACGAAGTTATCAAACCTGCCTTCTTGGCGTGTAAAAGGCACGCCATTCTCATCGAGGCTTGCTGTCTCTCCATCGTAAATATTTGAGTCCTCAAAATCCGAATAGCTGTTGTTTTGACCTTTGCTCCATTCCTCTTGAGAAAAACCTTTGTCAATTACATTTTCAAACTCTGCATTCATTTCTCGTGGAAACAAATCTGTTTTGTCGATTTCGATGTCAAGATCTGACGGCGTAACAAGCCAGTCATACTCATTTTGCGTAATCGCATCTGTGGTTGATGCTGAAAACTCGGTGATTGATCCTTCAACTTTCTGACCGTTAATTTCACCTTCGTCCACATTGATCGCTTTAGCATTCAGCGCATTGTCATTTTCGTAAGCTGATACTTTCTCTGCAAACCCATCGAAGTTGTTAGCACATAAACCACTTACATTCCAATTCATGTCGTCAGGATCTTTACTTTTATCTGTTGAAAAGTTTGTCTGAGTGTTAATCGATTCACAAACAGTATTTGAGTTCAAGGCCTGAGTCTTGGTCAATTCGCCTTCAATATTGTCGATCGGCTGACGTATCGTTTCTGCAACCTCGTCTTCTGCCTTTTCAATCCCTTCCGGAGTAGAGATGTTTGGATTCGAGAAATGCAAATCTACTTTCGTAGTAATATTAGCGATGTGGTCGTCAGAAGGTATCTCCTCAAAGTTGTAGTCGCCTGTGTGCGTTTTCATGTCCGGAAAACAAAGAGATGTATAGCTTACGGGTCGAGGTACGATTGCACTCGGTCCCGGCTTGATGGTCTCAACTTTCAAAACGTTTATGCCATTTTCTAATGGTTTGTTCCCTATTTCAGACTGTTCTTCAGCTTCAGCCTTCACTATCTGGTTTTGTGCTCCCCGCAGTTGATCCAGTCGAAGAATTTGGCAATATGATCGAATTGCTTCGGAGCCTGGAGCGTGACAATCTAATTTTTCCAAAAGTTGACGCATGCACTTCTTCACAGCTTTTAATTTGGTAAACCACTCAATACATTGAGCCTGCAATTCAGCATTTGAGTGACTTTGCGCCAAATTATACAATCTAAGGCTCTCATGCTCGTTGAGAATGTCAAGTGCATCGAGACTTGCACGATATTCTGCCACTTTTTTTCTATCTTCATGCTCCTTTTCACTAATGGAGAGCAACACATTCAGAGCAGTCAGTGCAGTTGAAAACTCTTCTTTAGCATGGCCCAGAAAATCTGAGACGGCAAGATCACGCAAAAATGCAGCTTTCGTTGGTTGATTTGTTTTCGGTGAGTCAGGAGGAACGTCAACAAATGTGAGATCTCTTCCTGGAGATCGTGGCATATAGGTCTTTTTTGTACAAAACACCAGTGCTTTGTTTAATGGAGATGAAGACTGTGGAGTAGGAGGTCGAGACATTGTCAACAAACTTCCTTCTGATCTAGTAAGCTCATCTTTCATATCCGATTCAAATGCAATATTTGTACAAAATCGATTTCTTTCCGCTTTAGCCAAGATCGATCGCGATCGTTCACTGACGGTGACAGTGGCGGTTGCTCGCCCATAAGTCATTTCTTGCTCAAGCTGTAATCTCTCTCCAACTGATAGCACACCATGAAAATCAACTCGAGTTCTTCGGTTTTGTACCTCAAGCAGCAAATTTTTATTGACTGGAGTGTGTTTGGGGGCACTAAGCTCTTTTGCTCGACGTTGCTGTTTTCTTACCAAGCTTGGATTTGCCGGCCTATGCCCGTTGAGCTTTTTTGCAGACGATATGAGAGGTTGGTCGAGAGATTTGACCAACATCAGAGGCGAAGAAATTACTTTTTTACGTGAACGATAATCAAGTGCTCGACTTCTCATTTCGTCATTTTGACGCTGCTGATCCCGACTAAATATGAGTTTATGTCGCTCTTCCTCTCCATTTACATTCCTCGATTTCCATTCAGCATCATTAGACGGTTTTTGAACTAAACTACGAGGTTGACAATGTTGAAGGACCAAGAGCGTACTACATGCACAGGTCACCCAATTGTTTCTATACTCAGGCATTAAATCATTGTCAAAAATATTATAACTGGGCTCGGATGTGTTGCCGGCAGTCTTGATTGTTTTAGTATGAGCTAGCGAAATCGAGCCCATGGATTGAAGTGAAGGCAATAAATTTCGGACATGAACAACATTTCTCCGCTTTCGACGCTCATCCGTTTCGACGACCGAATTACCATCCAAATTCAAGTGTACGAGCATTTTGTTGAGGGAAAGAATTCGAAGAGCGTGGACAGTACTAATAACATTGTGAGATAAATTCAAAATTTCCAGCTGTATCAAGTGTTCGATATTTCTCAGCGTTCGAATTAAATTGTGACTCAGACTTAGTGCACGAAGTTTAAATGTCCTCGTAAGTCCAGAAATGGTTTTCAATTGATTTCTCTCCAAGTTCAAAACCTCAAGTCGTGGAAATGCAATTAATCCGTCGCCCTGTAACTTTTTTAATTTGTTTTGGGATAGATCGAGCACAGTGACGAACGGAAAGCGACACTAGCAGCATTAAACATTTTATTGTATAAAAGTAAGTGATTTGCATCCCAAACAAACACAAACAGACTTACCTCATCAAATAGTTGAAGATTTGTAAGGCTATTCCCAGGAAGAAGCAAAGCCAACAAGTTACGAAAGGGAAGTTCAGCTGGAAATTTTTTGACAGTCATACCGTTCTTAAATTCCGGATGAGTCAATTTCACCACAGTGCAGTCTTTGCCGTCTTTCAGCACGTCAACCACAAGCGAGTCAATGCAATCCTTATTGTCTTCCGCGTCATTTAGAACACAAATGTTGCTGCTACAGAAAGGAACTGTTTGTCCACTGTCTTCAAATTTTCGATATTCCAGCACTTCGAGATTGTCATTTCGCGAAGTTCGCGCAATAGATTCAGATCCAGCGCTGTGTTCAGACAGAAGAGAAGGACACTCTTTTGAAATTTTTTTGTTTGAAGTGTCACATTCGAAGTAATGGTAATTTGGACCAAAGAGGTCGTTGTTGTCGTCGAAGTCCCGCATGTACAATTGATCCTGTTTCTGCTTCATTAAACTTATCCCACCATTCTTACTTATTAAATCTTCATCATATTTGACGACAATATGATTATCGGAATCACTTCGTGTCGGATTTCCACCAAATGCTGGCGGAGCATAATCGGCTATGTCAGAATCACGTGGCGATGAAGCTGCAGAGATACTAATTTTTGGCTCCTGAAACATGTCATCAACATTTAATATTGTAGACTGTACAGATCGCCGGAGATCATTATCACCACCCGATTGATAGTCAAAACTAGTGCTGGGAATAGGAGCTGTTGGCAGATCTGACTCAATAGTCATAGTATTCATCGAAGCAACTGAAGCCACCTGATCTGTACGTGAAGATAGCGATAGTACGTCGGAAGATCGACCACTGCACATATCTGGATCGCAATTTAAAAGTGAAAGGCTGGATTTACTGGAAAGATCTTTAAAAACAGAAAAATCAGAAGACTCAAAAAGTGTAGGCAGTGATGTTGATGCCGTACTAGATGCTCCAAGAGTGGCGTGACGTTCTTGGACTAAAGCCTCCCACGGTGGCGATAACGATTGTTTGGATGGTGAAGCCTGATACTTTGCAAGTAGAACACTTTCCAAATCAACCTGATTCTGAGTGATGTCCGAAGACAGCTGCATGTATGTCCGAATGTCCTTATTGGTTGGTACAGATGCACTAAGAAGTTTGAGAACTTTTTTGCACTCTTCTTCGCCAAATTTACCACGACCAACGCGATTTAAAGCTACACGAATTTCCAAACGTTTGTCTTCGCGACGCAAAAGGTTCAAATAGTGCGTAAATTCTTGAAGTACAGAGGCCGAAACCTCGTTACCCCCTAGGTTTACGTTCACTACGAATCTTGTGTAAGTTGGCATTAGTGTGCAAAGCAGCTCCTTCGTTTGAGAGTCAGGTGATGGTAAACTTTTCGCTGCGATTATTTGCAATCGAAGAACTTCCAGCAAAGCTTTCGCACCCTGTTCAAACACAATCGCACGGTTGTTGATGAAATCAAAAGTCGATTTTGTATATAAAATAGCCTGAAAGCGTACATTATCCGTGATACGGTTCTCGCGCACATCGAGTGTAGAGACGATTGGCATTTCTAAAATAGTTTCCGCCAAAACGATTACTTGTTGGTCCGTGATTTCTTCTTGTCTAAGTTCAATAATGTGAAAATCCTTTTGACCAGCGATGGCTTTATTTATGCTCTACATAGTTCAAGTGGGACTCATTATGTCGAAACATCAGCTGAAAAAAAAAAAAAA